TGGGAGGCCAACGTGATGGTCCAAGTAATTGGGTTTCTGCCACACATGTGGGAGACCTGGGTTGCATTCTTGGCTCCCAAATTGGTTTCTTTATCTGCAAAGTAAAAGTATGAATTAGAGAGTCTCTAGGGTTCTTTGCAAGGTTGACATTCCTATAGTAAATGAGCATTGTTCTTACTCCTATAATCATTGTTCTCCCCCTATAATCACTGTCAGTTCCTGTTACCTGCTCTCCCTGGAAGTGAGATTTGCCAATATGTGAGGAAATGGTTATTTTTCTTATGCTAAAGCTGACTCTAATAAACAGTGTGATACCAAGGATTCTTACTCTCATCAATCCCCCAAACAACTTTTTTTTTTTTTTTTTTGACAGGCAGAGTGGACAGTGAGAGAGAGAGACAGAGAGACAGGTCTTCCTTTGCCGTTAGTTCACCCCCCAATGTCCGCTGCGGCCTGAGAGCTGTGGCCGGTGCACCGCACTGATCTGAAGCCAGGAGCCAGCTGCTTCTCTTGGTCTCCTATGTGGGTGCAGGACCCAAGGAGTTGGGCTAGCCTCCACTGCACTCCCGTGCCATAGCAGAGAGTTGGACTGGAAGAGGAGCAACTGGGACAGAATCCCTATTGAGCCGTGGCGCCAGCCCCCAAACAACTTTTTAAACATGGTTTTATAGTAATATAATAAATCAGCTTCTCCTTTGCCGCACATCATGGATCCCTCTAGAGGGAAATTCTAACAGATGGTTATTAGTGATTTAAAAAAGAGAGAGTGAGAGCACTGATTTTTTTCTTCCACAGACTTTTTTTTTACATTGTAACAGTTATATTTCAGAACATAGTTTACAGATAATACTAAAGTGTAACTTTTGCACAGAGAAAGTGGTTTGTGTTCTGTGGTTTTCATAAGCAGTGAAAAGTGCTTTTCAGGGCTAACTGGCAGTCAATTTCCAAGGCACCTCAAGAATACCATTGAGCATTTCTCAGTCTCCTGATGATAAATGCAAATGCTATATCCTCATGCTTTCCATGCGCACCACTGTCCTCAGTAATACAAATATTATCCTTTGTTAAAATGAACAGCATAACATGGAGCAAATAGTGAGTCAGAGCATCTTGCCCATGTGAAAAATATCAACCATGCTGAGAGAATGCTTCATGATGATGATCTGGTGGTTTTAAAGATTTTTTTTTTTTTGTATTAACGATGAGGTGAGGGGTAGAGTGGGTAGGTAGGTAAAAAACAAAAACCAGCAACAACCAAAGTTTTATTTCTGGCTCTTCTGTGACTGACTCATAGTATGAACTTGAACCAGTCATCTTTATCCACACAAGTGGCTTAGTTTATAGACTGAAGTGAGAAAATGCTTCAGCTTCCCTATTTGAGTGTTGGAGAACTGCTGAGATCACTTATATAAATATTTTTCTTTGAGCTCCCTAGAAGACAGGAAATTTATAAATATTTAGTGTTATTGTTGCACCTTAGTAGACAGGAAAATTATGTTACTCCCAAGAAGAAATAACCTATTTCAGACCATCCTAGTTTATACCAAGTGGCTTTATGTTGGTTTGTCATCCTCCATCCATGCTGTGGGCTTTCTTTTTTCTTCACTCCTTCTCCCAGCCCCTTGCAGTTAATTAGTATAGAAATATAAATAAACCTTAGCAACAGAGGGTTTGAAGGTGAGGAAGCTCAGCATGGGTGCAGTCATATCGAATGATCTCAAACTGTGTATCAGAATGGGTGTGGAATAAAAATAAATAGTACATTTTAAATCCCTGATTGAAAATTGTGAGAAAATGATTCATTTTAAGAATGAGTAATTCAGTTGAACATCCTGAACTTAAGATCTTACAGACTCTCATTCTGTCTATTCTGTTTCTTTTGTCTATTCATGTGTCCAAAGGATACATTGAGGAAAAAGAGGCATAAGAAAACACAATTGTAATGAGCATCTTTAGAGCAACTCTGTTTATTTCAAGTGGAGTCTTGCAAAATTAATTCACCTGTTTCTTTGCAAACTCTTGCCCAACAGGCTGTTGCTCCAACACTTTTATGGCTCCAGGTTCTGAAATGATGTTCCCGAAATGAATACCAAGACTATTTTTGGATAGTGGGATTTCAGGTGATGTTTTAAAAAAAGATTTATTTATTATTATTTGAAAGGCAGAATTACAGGGAGAGGGAGAGACATTAAGAGACCTTCCATCTACTGGTTCATCCCCCACATGGTGGCAACTGCTGGGGCTGGACCAGGCCAAAGCCAGGAGCCTGGAGCTTCATTGGTGTCTCCCAGTTGGGTGCAGAGGCCAAGGACTTGAGCCGTCTTCTACTGCTTTCCCAGGCACATAGCAGGAAGCTGGATTGGAAGTGAAGCAACCTGTAATTGAACTGGCTCCTGAATAGGATGCTAGTATTGTAGCTGGCCCCTTAATCTGCTGCCAAAATGCCAGCTCCCAGGTGATTTTTTTTTCTTTTAGTTTACTTACTTATCTATACTTTTCTACATTTCCTAAATTTTCCCTTCAAACAGGTAGGTTTCCTCGACACAAAAACAAATTATTTTTAAAATATAATTTTCAAACCTCTTACCACTGATTTCATTCACTTCTCTGCCACACAGCCTGTGTTTTTAATGAACCTGTGCTTGCTTTCTGCTTTCCTTAAAAATTTAAGGCAAGCAATAGCTTTCCAAATAGGGAAAATGAGTTCTTTATGCAACTGAAATGTAGAGTTGACTTTGATTCATAGAACTCAGATAGCTTACAAAGCACACTTAGGTAAAAACTTCTGTTTTATCACTGGGGCAATTCATGTCAGAGTAGAGTGGGTCTCCTGAGAATGAATTATGCTAATTTTTTGTTTGTTGGCCTAATCTCAAGATGATTATGCTAGTTTTAATGTTCCTTGCACTCCAGAGGCAAAGTTAATCACAAAAAAAGACAACAGTTTCACCTTCAATGATAATAATCAATGCAATCATCAAACCGATTCAAATTTTTCTTTTCTGAGTATTCAGGTGCAAGCTTTTCTGTTTTTGCCTCAATTTCAATGCAAAGTAGAAAATTCCATTGTATCCAGGGGCAAAGGTTTCCCCTCCATGGTTCAACTTTTTAAGGAGAATGCTTCCAGGAAGATTTGGACATGCAACTATGCACTTTTCCTACTAATACTTACTAAGCACCTACTGCATGTCTGTCTGTATTCTAGGAAGTGGGGTTACAGCAAGGAACCTGATGAGGTTCTTGCCTTAAAGCAGCTACTAGAGGAAAACAAGCATAGCACCAAAAGTGCACTGAGGTGTCAGGGGTGCTATTTGAGCTGCACAAAATATTCCATGGGCCCCACCATGGAGAGGTTGACGCCATCTGTGAAATGTGGGAAGGAGTTTCAGAAAATACTTCAAAGGAAAAGGGAGGGGTGGGCTGGGTGAGGTTGAAAAGCAAACTTGGCAAAGCAAGCCACCTGCAAGGCACAGTGGTGGGAAAAAGGCTGGCTCTCACTGAGGATCCTAGACTTCATTTTCATGGCTTTAGAGGTCAACAGGCAAGCAAGAGAGTGATAGAAGGTAAAGCAAGAACAGTAAATGGAGGGATCATCATTTTGCTTGCATAAGGAAACATAATTTGCTAAGAGATGTAAATTGGGGTTTATATAAGGAAGCCTCAGACAGGTATGTTCAGGCTCCTCCCTGTTAGGAATCAAAGAAATGTTACAGAAGAGAAAGATCTGCCTTTGACCATGCTTCAGGATTTTAACTCTCCTGAATTGCTCGACCCGCATGGTGAGTGTGCCTCACAGGGTGCCAGGACCGAATCCTCTGGGCCTCTGCATCCAGCACTTTATTCTTCTCTCTGCATCTCCTCCTTATTTTCATGGAGGAAGTCAGGATCAGCAGCAGCAGGCGTTGCCACAACCCCTGGTGCTTGCAGAAACCCAGCTCTGAGGTTGCACCCTTTGCTTGCTGCAGTGATGCTGGGAACCCTGAAGTCAGCAGGGTGGATCTTGTTGGAGCCCAGTCCCCAGATGCTGGTGTTTCCCTTTCTCAGTGCCTCTTCCATTCCTTCATGTCTCACTTCTCACTTTACCCCAAGCCTTCAAAATCACTCTTCTCTGATGCCTGGCCCCTGCTTCCTTTATCCTTGGTACAAATTCCTTTCTGGACAAACTCCCCAAACCCCTTGGGAAGCACATCCACATGCAGTTTGCCTTCCAGACTCAGCCAAACGTGCTGTATCCTTAGAAGAACATAGTTTAGATGCATGCTGGAAGCTTTGGAAGTTATGGGAAAAAGAAACAAGAGAAACACAAGCTCGAGAAAAAAAAAAAAAAAAACCTAAAGGTGGTTTCTGTGGAGCCTCCAAATCCAAGATAAATAACACATTTTTTTCAATATTCTTCTTACTCATATTTTCCAACTGAGATAGATCCTCGCTTGTGTGTTTTTCTGTTTAGTATTTTGTATTTTTGTAAGCCACCTCCTTAGAACCTTTTTTTTTTTTTTTTTTGCAACATGGCAGAATAAAAATAAAGGAATAAAGAAGGTTACTTAATAGTTGCCATATTTGAAGTCAAGAATGATGTAGTAAGAGGTAGAAACGAAAAACAAAACAAACTTTTTGCTAAAACACGGCCAGAGCCATAAGTTGAAAGGGCAGGGAATGAAGACTACATGGCGACCCGTCCTGACTTCCTCTGCCGGTGGTGAAGTAGTCCAAGGGGGGAAAACCAAACCCAAACGAAGGCGGGAGGAAGGTTAAGCCTGGGGCGCGGAGACTTCGCGGCTGCAGACCTTAAGATCTGCAGCTGGGAGAGAGAAGGGAAAGGCGCTGTGGGGTCCTGTGGGGGCCTATGGGGAAAAGCCCACAGCCACACACAGGGACGTGAAGGTCACCGTGGGTGGCGGGATTTTCTCCGCACCACACCCAGCGAAACCCCCTTCGCTCAACGCCCCCCTCTTCCCGGCTGAACTCTCGTCAGTTTCCCCGTCGTTTCCCAGGCGTCCCTCCCCCAAGCGGGGAAGACTTTCTCTCCGTCCTTCCCCTCGGCTCCTGGCGTCCGCTCTGCGCTCTTCCCACGGAGCCCTTCGTTTGCCTCCCTGCCAATGGGGGGTCCGGGCGGCAGGTGGATCGGCGGCCAGGGGCAGCCACCGCGAAGAGTCTGCGGGGCCTGGGCCCGACGGCACTGGACGGGGCGCGGCCCGCGGGCCGCCCGGGGCGGGGAAAGCGGCCCTGCCCCTCCCGGGCCCCGCGCAGCCGGCCCCAGGGGCGGTCCCAGGCTGCCCGCTCGCCGCCGCAGCTCCGCGTGCCTGCTGGGCGCTCCCCAGTGGTGGAGCCCAGGTGCCGGAGGGCAGGAGGCCCCGAGGATGTGCGGCTGGCGGCTGCTCCTGCTCTGGGGGCTGCTCCCCGGGGCAGCGGCGGGGGGCTCGGGCCGAACCTACCCGCACCGCACCCTGCTTGACTCGGACGGCAAATATTGGCTAGGCTGGGGCCAGCGGGGCAGCCGGCTCGCCTTCCGCCTCGAAGTGCGCACCGCCGGCTACGTGGGCTTGGGCTTCTCGCCCACCGGGACCATGGCTGCGGCGGACATCGTAGTGGGCGGCGTGGCCCATGGGCAGCCGTACTTGCAGGTAAGCGCACCTCTCAGAGCAGCTGGCCCGGCCGAGCCCAGTTCGGAGGGAGCGGGCGCTGGCGCGAAGCGCCCCCGAGGCCGCCCGCGTGTCTAATCCCAGCCTCGCTCCCTGCATCCCAGCGCCCCGAGCACTTCGCGAGCTCACATTGGCGGTCTGTTTCCGTACCTCCGCGGTCCAAAGCGCCCTTGGCCAGGCTCCCCGGCTCCGCCGCGCCCTGCTGCTCCGAGTTTTCGGTCGGGTGAGCCCCAATAATTTTCCTTCTCTGAACCCTTTACTGTTCCCAGCGTCCTCACTAAGTAAATCCCGCACGTCCACACCTGCCACAATTCCCGCTTTATTCCTGGTGGGAAAGGAGAGACTCCAGGCGTAGGGGACGGAACGGGACGGCTCTGACCGAGGGAGTGCGAGAGCTTTTACACCTTGCGGACAGGGGTTGGGAATCTTGAACTTCCCCAATGGCTGCGATCTGGAAGCCCCTGCGCCTGGGACTGTTCAGCTCCGTGGTGCAGAGGGAGCGTGAAAGGTTCTTAAGTATCCTAAGTATCTTAGGAACTTTGCTATTCAGAGGGATGTTTAGGAAACTGCGCTTAGAGACCTTCAAAAGCTAATGTCCTCAGGCAAAAATCCCCTATTTAGTGCTAACAATAGTAACAATGGGAGACGCGTTAATGTGACAGCTGCCGATTGGCTGTGAGGGAGATGGCTTAGCGAGGTTGCCTGGTCCTAGGTGCCATTCAGGAATTGGAAAAAAAAAAAAAAAAAAAGCGGGAGGAGGAGGTGGAGGAGGTGGAGGAGAAGAAGGAAGTTAGGTGTCTTGGACATCTTTGACCATGACCAACGTTTGGATCCTGGTGGAGATACACTGTTATTTGAAATACTCTTCTCAAAATAGTGTCCTTTGTTAAAAAGCCAGGTGAGAGCTCCCGTTGTTTTGTCGTTGTCTGAAGGCTTGGTTGGTATTTTAATCAAAGTTCCCGAGGGATTGCACGGGGCACGACTTCATAATTTTATCCTCAACGAGGGATTGCAAGGGGCACGACTCCATAATTTTATCCTCAACTTCTAAGTATTATTTCCACAAGCTCTGACAGACGCCATCAGTTTGGAACCCTGATTCTTGGCTACAAAAAAAAGTGACAGAAATCAAAAAAAAATCAAAGCTCCCCAAAGGTCTAGGTTGTTCATAAATTAAACGTTTCCTCCCTGAATAAGTGCTCTAAAGCTCCAATAAAGTAAAGTTTTATGATAATTGCACTCTGCTGAAGTCACTGAGGAAACTACTATACTCCTGCTGTGCATCCCAGACATTAAATTTGTGAATTAACAATTTGACCCCAAGTAAACGTCACTGACTGACAATCTGCAGTGTTAGGAAGTAGATAGCAACTTATTTAAATATGATTTGAACCAAGTTGTTGGTTGGTTGTTTGGTCTGTATGCTTATTTTTGAAGATTGGGGACTGTAGCATGCCCCTTAATCATGTGTATGTGTTCTACAGAAGGGACATGAGAAATTTTAACATGACGGTGTTACAGAACAGGACAGACTTTGAAAATTAATGATATTATGTTTTCCCAAAAGTATAGCATTTTTAGAACGCTCACCCAATTTGATATCAAATAAAAGGCTAAGAGTAGAATCCTGATTCAATGTGCCGTTAATGGACTCACCAAAGGCATAGACTCTGCTAAACTACCAAATATCTTCACACTTCTGGTCGCTTTTCATAAAGATTGCATAAATGGTCTTTAGATCAATTTTGAAACTGGATCCTTTTTTAAAGAAATTGTTGAATAGGTATCACTTTTAGATTAATTAGAAACAGTTTTCCAATATAAAGATCAATAAGTAGGATTTTCATTTCTATATTTATTCTTAAAGAAATAAGATCTTAGTTTTATATATAAAGGATAATCATTTTCTTATTTGGCTGACATTCTATGCCAATCCACTTCTTAAAGCATTCTACTCATTTTGAGATGTATAAAATACAATAAAATGCTGATCAACTAAGTGGAAAGATAGAGGAAAGACACAAAATACTATAAATAAAAAGAAATATATAGTTCTGGCTGAATCATTTGGGCTAGGTGATCCTATTTTTCATGACTTGAACTTGAATCTTTTCCCTGGGAACTATTGGCAAGTCTTCCTACACTAGTGTAATATAGGGTATCTTCAGAAGCTGTACTGAAAAAGAAATAAGATTCTTTAATGGGGTGTATGTGGTTCTATTAGTAGACTTTTGGTTTCATGTAACTTGAGAGAACCTTAGTGGAACAATGGAAAAGCATCTGCTCTGGGGGCAGCCACTAATAGTTGGGCAATGTCTTCAGACCTAATGATAACAATCTCAGTCACCTCATCTTGAGGCTTTTTCCCATCTATTTTCTTCTTCTTTCTTTAATTTTAAGCTTCAGTTTTAGTGTTTCTTTAGGATTCTTCTGACTTTAATTTCTAATTATGTGTGTGTGTGGTTTTTTGTTTGTTTTTGTTTTTACAAAAGGTGTTCACTTCTGGATAACTCTCGAAGAGTGAATCCCAACAAGCAGGTAGAGCATTGTTGGCTAAACCTGGTAGAGGTCAGGAAGGAAATGCAACAGAGTGGTGTGCAGTTGAGTGAGACAGGCAGATGTTTTACAGCAGAGATAGAGGGCACTGAGGTGTTGAGGGAATTGGAGACTTTGTGAGTGAATTTTGACAGAGGAATGCAAAGCCAGAATTACTAGATCTTTTGTATATTTTGTTTTGTTTTGGAAGTAGACAAAAATTTAGCTTGTGTGTGCATATGTAAAAATCTTCTGACTACTAAATATTGGCAATGGTTCAGATTTGTACAAAGCACCACATAGTGGGCACATACACCAGTACACAGACACACACAATTTCAGTTGGGATGTATCTCATAGGCAATCTAATCTTGGACCAAGAGGAAAAGAGCTAAAATTAATAAAGAATCAACCCAATTTATGAAAATCAATGAAAGGCACAGAAGCAAGTCCTATTTACTTTTAGGTCAATTTAATTCTATGCCAAGAAGTGGGTTTAATATTGGGCACCTTTGTCCAATGTCTATCAATCCTACATAACAAACTGCCGCAAAACATACTAACCTAGAACATTTTCCTCTCTCAAAGATCTGCAATTTGAACAGGGCATGGAAGGGATAGCTCTCCTGTGCTCCACTTTGTGTCAACTCCAAAGTAGATGATTGAAAGCATATGTAGGTTCACTCCCTGGAATGTGTGACTGGTGGTTGATGTTTGCTGTTGACTGGGATCTTAGCTAGTACTGTGGTGAGATCATGACTTTTCCATGTGACTACATAGTTTCCTTGCATACCAAGGGTTGATACCATGAGTGAAAATCTCAAGAGGCCCAGATGGAAACCGTGTAGATTTTTATGACATTGCCTTTAAGTCAGGTCATGTGACTTTTGCTATGGATACAGACCCACTGGATTCAAGATGGATTCAGACTCCATCTCAATATTATGTCATAATATGGTTACATGGGAATGAAATATATTGTTGTGGTCATATTAGGAAAATATATTTATACTATATCGATCCTCACTGGCTTCTCACAATCTCTTTCTTACCACCATTTTTGATGTCTATCTACATATCTTTATGTATCTACTCTCTTGACACTACTTAAAATGAGAGGCAATGTTTACTTATTCACCATTTCTTTTGCTCTCTTTCTCCCCTATCCTCCCTTTCTCTCTCTCTCTCTCTCTCTCTCTCTCACACACACACACACACACACACACACACCCTACTGTTATAGAGTTGGTAAACAGTTGGTACCTTTCCCATTGGCTTCATGTTCCATGCTCTCTCTGTTTCTGCCCATTGCCCCTCCTCCCAACAAGAGTTCTGAATCTTGGCCACTCCATAGTTTTCAGTGGTTGCCTATCACTGATTCAGCATTCCATCCAGTGAGACAACCTGCAGAGGGTGGTGTGCTTGCCTGTATGTTTAAGGAGTCAAAAAATGAGTTTGAATTCCCTTGCTTCTTGGCAAAAGGCTTTGCCACTCTTAAAACTGGTATACTGGGAATTCTCCCTGCCTATTTGGTAACTTTTTTGACCTTGTCTGGAGATATTTCCTTAAAGGGTGATAAAAATGGGGAAGAAAAGAGGGGAGCACTGTGGTTGTGAAGCAAAGCCAGTTCCAGTGTCACCCACTGGATCAATGGATGGGGGGTGCTGCTGAGGTCAGTTTCTACATTGTCTTTTCGCAAAGCACTGAGGCAGGAGTGGAGAACTGTCTTTCCTTTTGCATTGGCTTTTCAGAACCTCACTATTTTGTCTACATGAATCGGCTCAACTCTAATTTTCCTGATAGATTCCTGTCCCTTCCTTATTCTTTGCCCTTCTTTGACACAGAGCAACTCCACCCCCACCGGAACCATTTAGCAGCTAAGAGTGCCCATTTGAGACAAGTAATCCGGTTGATGAATGCCCAGTTTGTGTGAGTGAGAGAGCAGCATTGTAGGATGTGCCTGTTGAATTTGCACAAAAATGGATTCACCCTTCCTATGGGGGTATGAATTGCTAGTGAATGCAGACCAAAACATATGTCATCATTTGCCACAGCCTTGCTTGTTGGCTATCACAAAAACTGAAGCCTTTCTGTGAGAAGTGTCTACAGCAGCAGGGTAATTGCTACTGGGCCGTTCAGTCGCCGAGGAAGAGCTTGGAACTGAGTTGAAATCACAGAAAACAGTGAGCATTCTTTGTGGTTAACGATGTGCTTCTTTTAAGTGCACCCCAGCCAACGGCAACAAAGAAATGTTTGGAAAGCAAATTGAAAGCCTGTAAGGGGAAGATGAAGAGAGTGTGCAAGGCTGACACAGCTCAGCTGGTGCTTTGTTAAGAGATATTTATAAGTCTTTGGATTATGCCCCCCAATTTCCAGATGACGAAGGGACTTTTCCAAGCTTCATGCTTTGTGTATTAGTAACAAGGACACATGGTCCAGTGCAATGC